AGAACCCGCCTCGGGGACGTGTTCGCGCGCGCGCGCTCACACACACAAAAAAAAAGAAAGGTAAACAGAAAACACTGACAAACGAAAAAGTCAAGTTACTCGATTAATTGTTACGTACATATATATATATATATATATATGCGTGTAAGTGTATTCACATACGTATATACATATATACGGGCGCGATATAAATACAGCGGTTAGGATATATGTATATCGTCAAACATCAGACTAAAATCAACGAAAACGGGTTACTTGTGTTGGCTTGTTCAACAGAAACATTATTTTGTTTTTTTCTTTTTGCGTCAAGTAAGTCGTCGGCTCTCTCTCGGGGACTTACCATTCTTTTTTTGGACAACGACTTTGGCTGCGACTTTACGGGGGTTGCGTATGCCGAACAACGGAGTTTTGAGTGGTAGTAGTAGAAGTAGTAGTAGAAGTAGTAGAGGTAGTAGTAGCATAGTGTCGTGCCGATATAGGAGGAGTCCAAGGCCAGTGTGATTGATACAAATATAATAGAGAAGGAGTACGATAAAAGACAGTCAGTGCAACTTCGTGGGGTCGAAAGAGGGGCGGGCGGGCGCGGTCTTGTATGGGCGGGGTTTTTCTGCGGGTTTACACAAGGGTTGAAGGGGGGTAGTTGGACGGGGGGGGGGGCGGTGTCACGTCTCTCGACGAGTTTGCTCGATTAATCGGACTGGAAATGGATCGTTTCGTTCTTTCACGGTTCACGTACGAGCGACGTGACTCACACGTTACATTCTTTAGGAAACGCGACTTTCGCTTGGAGAGGTAGTTTCTGAGGGTGGTTCCATGGACACGAGGGTGGAGGATGGAAGTTCCACGAGTATATCGTACTTTCGACCTTAAAACCAGTCGGAACCAACGAAATGCTCGAACACTTTGGACCGCCGAGGCGAGACTTTTCTATTACAACCCCTTGGCCATTGAATTAAGACCCACTTACAATTTTCAACATTTTTCGTGTTTTTTTTTTCTTGGTATAATTGAAAGGCCTGAACGAAATTTAATTGGACCTTTTATGAACTATTAAAGTATTACATACATACATATTAATAATTTCGATATTATTACACAGGGTGGACACTTACAGACTGAATGATATAAAATAACTTTTACAATGTTTTTTTTGTTTTTTACTACTTTATTTGGAAATATAATTAATGGATTTTTTTTAAGAGTGCTCTGTAACTTGTAAACATAGAAAATAAAAAGGATTGAAAATGAACAAATTATGACTTTTTCAAACCCTTCAGTCTTTCAGTGGCCACCCTGTACATGATATCTTATTATTTATTATTATTGAGTACTTATTGCGAAACCGATAGAATTCCCATGTGTGACGGATGCTTGAGAGAATGTTTATAGTAGAGTATCAATAACAAGTGAAATGTAACTATGTTTCTTTTCGATTTCGTGTTATTAGAGTCTTTGTAATTAGGTTACTTTAGGATTAAACTTTAAACGAATCTTTGTCAAATGTAACCGGAACAGTCTCCAATCGCCCAGTGCGAAATATGTGCACTTCAGTATTTAACAAAGTTTCTACTAAATCACATTCAGTCCCTTCAATTTTCCTAAAACCATGCAAGACGTTCAGAACTGTGAGTGAGCTTACATAATTAAATAGCCAGGGGCTGTAACGTTCGAGTGTTATTTTCCTCACTCGAACATCAAAATGTTCATGGTCTTCCTTTGGTATCAACAATATCGTCTCGATACTTTCGTGAATTTAGCGAAGCCTAAACTATTTTAACGATAACTTAAAGCCCTTACAAACGCATAAAATCAGCGGTGCACATATAACTTCTTACTAGCGTCAAACGGTTCCAGCGGAAAAAGTTCCATAAAAGAAAAATATACATATAAAACTGGATCGATATCCCTCGCGAGCCAATATTCGAAATTATTTTAATAAACCGTAGACGTTGAATCCCGCGGGGTAGCATTATTCGCGGAAGTCGACGATAACATAGACCGGGGAGGGAGAAGGGATAAATTGAAAGGATTCGAGACGCGGTGCGCGGACGGCGGTACGATTCGATCGATCGGGACGCACCATCCCACCACCCCGTTGTCCAGGAGTGTCGCCTTTCGCGTGTACATACACCCTGGGGTGGAAGGGCTGCTGTACGCGTACCGACGGAACGAAATAAAAGAAAAAAAAAAAGACGAAAAAGATACCACAGTGCAGAGAGTAGAAGTGGACCAGCGGGGTAGAGGGGGCTGGGGGGCGCAGTGGACGTGACACGAGAGAAAGTACAACTGATCTCGGAGAGCTCGGACAATGGTACACATAGAAAGAGTTCGGGCGGAATAAATCAGAGAAACGAAAGGGGCCGAGGGGGTTGGGGTGGAGGGTCACAGATATATATATTTATTTATGTATATATTTATATATACATAAATATATATATATTTTTTACGTTTTCTCGAGTAGCATCGAGAAGAGTATGTTCACAATCGGTCGGAGGTCGATATACTGTATCGACCTCTGGCTAATTGTTGCATGCGTGATTCACGTGTTTCCTGTGTTCAAAATGGCGCCGTCGATCTGATACGGTATAATAATTCTTTATTAGGAAAATCGAATTTTGTTGGTTTTCGTTTTGTTTCAGTGGGTTTTCACGCTAAACTCTATCACGACCGGCGAGACAATCGGTTTGGCTTAGTTTTAATTCCTGCGTTTTCGAACGGTTTAAATAGGTTCAGTGTTAAAGGGTGTATCGTGAACGTGGGCGCCATCTTGAACAGGGCTGCGAAGGTGAAGAAAAAACGAGATCTATGTATACTATGATCTCGCAACGATGCAGAAAATTATAGTCTACCAATGGAGAACGTCAAGAATCCAGGCAGTGTGCCATCGAAGTACACATACATAGATATATTAAAATGTATTAATATATAAAGATATTTATTCGTGGAAAGGATAAACAGAGTGAGAGACAGATACAAAAATACAGAAAGAGAGCTAGAGATATAGACAGAGAGAGCTAGGAAAAAAAAACGAAAAAAATCCTCTCGTACATTTGGATGCGAGATGTAGTACGAACCATGGAACAAATGGAGAGAAGACGGTGACAAATGGAGATATGTGAAAGAAAGAAATAGAGAGAAAAAGAGAGAAGAATGGAAAATAGTACGTACACCACGCGCACAGTGATTCGATCGTAGGTGAAAAACGAAAAAAAAAAAGGCACATATAGACGGAGGGGGTGGTAATTTCTTTCTGATATTCATCCCTCGTAAACGTTTCTTTTCCTTTACTCCCCCGTTCGAGAAAAGAAACAAAAAACAACGTATGGGCGACAAGAGAAAACGGAAGAGGTGCGTGTGTGTATGTGTGTATGTGTGCGAGAGAGATATAGAGAAAGACAGATAGAGAGTGAGAGAAAAAAAATAACGCAAAAAACACGTTGAATAAATACAAAGAGTAGAAAAATTCTTTGACACACCCACACTATCTATGGAGAGGAAAAAAACAGCTAAAGAAAAAAAAGAATCAATGATAACCAATGAAGCTCTTAATAATGTGACGATTAGAAGAGTCGGGTGGCGCTTCTTACCATCTGTCCGTGCAGCGGGTGAAAAATGGAAACAGAAAGAGAATTCAAAATCTTCCTCTGAAAGTGGTGGTTGATTTTCTTTCTTTTTTCTCTTGCGCATGATTTTCGAAAATTTGTTTTTTTTTCGCCCATGAGTATGGGGGGTCAAGGGGGTGGGTCGGGGCGTGGGGGGGGGTTTTGAGAATATCCGAGGCGAAAAGATAATCGTCTTGGTTGGACTTTTAATCACGCGCGTTTGGCTCGATTCTTCTCGATCGTTCCCGGGCAAAAAGGTGAAGAATTTTGAAAGAGGTGCGGCACGCGGCCGTTAGCAGGTGGTAGAAAGGTGTGTATAAATCGAGCGAAATTTTTCGGAAATTCGCGGGTGCAGGAGGATGTCCTTTCTTTTTTTTTTTATTATTGTTATTTTTTCGTATTCTTTTCAGTCTGATTTTGCGAAACGGCATCGGATCGAAGGCATGGCGGCTGAGAATTTTCCGTTGTTATTAACTATCCACGATTGGCTTCACTCGTTTCAAAAGAATTCAAATTGGAATCTATTTGTCTATCGAGCTATTATCTATCGATAATTTAGTTGAACGTTTAAGTAATTCATTATTCAGAGAACGATTCGATGGATGGTAATTTAATTCTCAAATGAAGCTAATTGTGTTCACTTTAAATGTAATAATGAAATGCGATCTTTCGTGAATCCCAACATCTTTGCAGTCACGCGATCGATCCTCCATTCGATGGAAACGCGACGATTCAAAAACTGCCGGGAACGGATCAGCCGTTCATTCATCCGTAAGTCCGGTTTTTTAAAGGCAAAATAAGGGAATCCTCGCGTTTCCGTGCGCAAAACAATGGCCTCTCTTAAATCGTGTCTAGAGCGGGTTCGATATCGTTGAGATACCAACGGTATCAATCGGCTACAAAAAGAATCTGGCGCTGTTTTTCAACAAAAACAAAAACGTTGTCGATCGCTTTGCAATGCACAGGAAAAAAGAAAACAAAACGGTTAAAAATTAACATTCAAAAATCACTTAAGTCGTCGAAAAATAAAAAACCACCGCGTGGTATCGAGATATTTCTCTATAGACTTTAATCGATTTCTCGAACCCAGTCTTCTTGAGTACTCTGCGACATTCGAGAGTATAAAGTGATACCAACGTGTAAAAGAAAAAATCGGTCTGTTAATCGTTCAAGCATCAAACGTGCTGGTGCACAAAAAAGTGAAAAAAAAAAAAAAAAAAAAAAAAAAAAAAAAAAAAAGAAACACTCTGATCACGATGTAAGAGGGACCAGTAGAATATATTGTCGACTTGCGAGAAAAACGAAATTCAACGAATAAGAGAAAGAAGAGAGTCTCTGCAAGAAATATGAACGTATTAAAAGTGATACGACCAGAGCAAAGTGACGAGTGGACATTACCTTCTTCGGGCCCGTCGTCGCCGTCGCTCATCAGCTCGTCGTCCGAGCAGATGTTCAGCACGTTCACCAACATCTCTGTGACTGCGAACACACGGGTAAAGAAAAAACGATGGTTAATCGAGAGATTCGCAATGATCGAATCTTGTTCGTGATTCGTTAATAAAATTGAAGGAGCAATGCTTGGAAGAGCATCGAACGAACGGAGTTAACGCTATCGGAACACTCTGAATTGAGATCGTTCGATCGGAAACGCAAGGTTAACTTAAGGGATTTATTTTTTTTACTGGTAGATACGATCTTGTTTGAACTACCTCAGAGGTGAGGTGTGAATTTTTAAGATATCTACTGTAAGGCCAAACAGAATCTGCGGAATATATCAAGGTAGGTTTGAACCCTTGAATATTGGGAAATTTGCCGGTCGAAGGAAGAAGATTGATTAAGGTGTTACATAAATTCGATCTGTTAATCAAAGGGAAAATTGAAAACGTTTTTGAATATGCAGAATTATTGAAAAGTTTCTGAAAAATTGAACTGTATATCTATCAACAGAAGAAAATAGCTGCCATTTTAAAGCGTTTTACTCGAAATGCAGTTTTAAAAATCGGCACTAGAAATATTTAAAAGACTATTGAAGCAATTTGGATCAAACTTGATTCGTGCATTGTTTTTTTTTAGTAACAAAAGATGTTAAACATTTATGTCGGAAACTACAAGTTTAAGTCCAAATAGCCGCCATTGTGTAAAATATTGATATATTATCTATTTTTTATATTTTAACTAGTTCCTTGTGATTACTTGAATATAAAATTACAGAGATATATCTGGTGTTCTGATGAAACTGGTTATAATTAAATGGCAACCATTTTCTTCTCTTTATAGATATAAGATGGCGACAAAACCTATACAACGTAAAAATAGAAACAGACAGTTCATCGACATAAAAATTGATGATTTTCACTGAAATATTCAGTTGATTGAGTGCACCTTCTCATACAATTGTAATAATTGTTGAGTGATTTGCCGATTGCCCCGATAATTGACAATTTCACGCGGATTGGCAAGGCTACGTGCTGAAACTGAGTGCCCTTGATAATGTACCAAATGAATAAAATCGAATGAATTTTCAATAAACAATAATTCCGCATATACAAATAAATTTGTTGATTTCCCCTCTTATTTAACAGCTCAAAGGTATGTAACTCCTTAAATGATCCTTTCCTGGTGTAAATCTTAAGTGATCGAGATCGCCTACCTTTTTCACCTACAAACGGCAAAGACCACGTGAACACGTCCATGAAGTTTGGTAACCAGTAAGGATGTGGTGAACAGTTGAACTGCCTGATGTTCATCACGTTGTTCTCGTACTTCAGCACGGCCGCCTGTAAGTGGCGATAGAATAAATAAATATTAAAACAATCTGTTACCTTCAAAGCGTACTGTTATATTAATATTTAATCTGGGTGCGTGTGATCGTTGCAAACAAATTTCAATTGTTCTCGCTATATCAAATGGTAAACCTAACTGTTCGCTACCCTATTTACTGATACGACTTCAACATCGAGAATCATATGAACTTCGCAAAGTGTTAACATTAATAGACGAGAATGACAAAACGATAATAGAATACATTACTACAGATAGCAATAGAAGCCGTACTACAACGAGAACCACCCGTGAAATAATCGTTCTCTCCAGCTCGCTCCCTCACCTTGTTGTTGTAAACGTCGAGGTAGTTGGGCGCGCTGAAGATGGTAATTAGCGATGGGAAGCCCGTCGTCTGGGATTTCCGGTACATACGATACCCTGCATCCTGCGCCTCGTGTGCCCTGATGATGCTGAGGAGGTTGTTGTTCTGCAGAAAATCGCAGCACGCCGCGTAACTGCGAAAACAACCAGTACAATTCAATTCTATCGTCGCATTACAGCCGCCATTCCATTCGTGTATACTTTGACGGAGCATGAAATATACTTTCAATACAAATTATTTCTGAATTATATTACTAATAATTAATGCGAGATTAAGAAACACAACAGATCGATGTCACAACTCGCGGATATAATTGCATATCCACGTTCACTGTACTCGACAAATTAAGCACGTATAGATATACATTTTTGCTATCGCTCGCTCTCGTCGCACTCCACACGCCTCATCCTTTGTGACTCTTTCTCAACCTTGTTACTCACACACATCACCAGAAGTTCCCTTTGGGAAACTTCGCCCGTGCGTTCGTCACGGCTTCTACCATCCCGCTACAGATTACAAAAAGGTTTCCAGAGACCCAGCTCCCCTAACGTGAAAGTATTGGAAATGGGTTAAAATAAATAGTAAATACTATAAATCCTTTTTCTACTACTTTTATTTCTTGCTTGGAAGGACGTCTTAATGCTTTGGAAATCGTACTCGAAGTGAGGAAAAATCCGTAAGAGCACGACCGAGAGTCAGTCGTCCACTTAAAAAAGAAAATAGACCCGGACTGCATACAGTTTATTACCGAGCCCTCAGGTCAAAACGTTACAGGCCTACGGGTCCGATGACATCCGGTCTATTGTATCATTTTCACTAAAACAGTGTTTCTCATACATAACACTATTCATTTTTGCTTACTAGCTGACACATTATAATTATGTAGTAACAGTCCAACAGAAAGGACCTCATGAGGCCAGAGCTCGAGGTAAACATGACTGTGTATGGCTTAAGAGGTTAACATAAAAATGTTTCACGATATTCAGCAACGATCATAGGTAGGATCGAATAGCTTCCACGAAAAAAATCCACGACATAATTAACGAATAAACGACCAGAAGTCAGCGAGCAACTGGATACATCTGCGAAGAACAGAATACACGATTAAGATGTTCACGGAAGCTTCCAAGAGGACGTCCGCCATCTTTATCAAGACGAAACCTCCGTGCTACCACCGGAGAAAAATTACCAACCATCAAAAGCGCGAAGGCCAATGAGAAATTACTCGCTGCCCCACGGACGGACGGGTGGAAAGTGTAATCGCAAAATGGCGAAACACGCTCGACCCGGGATCATAATATTCGTGAGATCTTTCGCAACTCTAGTAGCAATTCCGTAATGGCCGTGGGCGCTATAAAGAAGTCGTTTCGCGATGTTTCACTCTTTCTCTTTCTCAGTTTCTACCTTCTCTCTTTTCCATGGCCCGTCCTTAACGTCCCAATAGAGACGGCCTCGTAAAACGTTACAGTAAATGGCGGCCGACCTGACACCGTCGTGAGAAAAATGCACATGAATTCTTGAACCATCGAATCATCATACACTGATTCGTAGGGGATACTGGGGTAGAAAGTAACAGTTGTTGGTTTTCATTAAACGATAAAGTCAATATTTTAGGTAGAGATTTAATGTTAATTTATACGGATAGGTTGGAGATTCAAGATTAGTTCTACAGGGTGTAACAAAAATGTTGCAAGTCTCCGAAATGGGACACTCGTGAGGCTATTTGGGACAAGTTTTTTCTTAATAAAAATGTTTAGAGTCTTGCAACGTGTACGTATTACCCACTAAGTCACTATAGGCGTAGTTACCTGGTTCTGGAGGTCTCGACGATAGCGCACCCAGGCAGTTTGTAGTATAATTCGGAGAAGAAAAAAGGATAACGGAAGCGTGAAATCGAAGGACCTCGTACGGGAAATTTGCTCGAAGGTTCGCCGGATGTTCGGTGCGAGGGAGGCTTAAAACGCTCTCGAGAATTTTGCTCGTGCAGCCGTGGTTGGCACGCGAGGTTGCACGCGCAAATTCGTGATAACTCTCGCTCTTTCTCTCTCTCTCTCTCTATCGTGGCAGCGCGAGTAATTTTATCCGGTGGCGATCGAACCGCGATAACCGCGAGGTACGGGCCCGAGCATTTATAAATTATAATGCGCCCGATAAATCATCATCATCTGACGGGGGTCATCTCGCGAATCGATCCTGTGTTTTCTGGCCGACCAATTCAACGGGATTACCAGTTTGTGTTCTTGGACTCGATGAAGATTAATCAGCGTTAATTAATCCACGAAACCGGTCAGACGAGTTCATTTGTCATTTATACGTTCAGAGTGGATGCACCGGGTAAATGGAACACGTACCAATGAATGAGCATTATATATAAAAACGAGTGAACTATGTTATTAAAATAAGCAAATGATTAACAATTGATTTGTTGTTCAATTACTTGGTTTATATTGAATTTACGCGCTACTCAGAGATGTTCATTTTCCTAATCCTGCATCTTTTTGGTACTATCTTATATGAAAATTTCTTTTTTCATGAAATCAAGAATCAATAGTCATTTTAAGACTGTTTTAAATTTTTTTCTAAATATAATTTTTTATTAAAAAAATGTATTTGCTCGGGATAAATCAGTAACACCGTTTTTCTGGTGTTTGGATGTCATTTAACCCCCGAATGACGAACGTGGGTGTCACTCGAGACCCACACTTTAAGCTCACGCTCAAAATGCAGGCTGAAGTTTTTGATGAAACATTTACACGAGATTTGGGTATGGATCCAAATTGACCTGCCCTCCATATATCCCACTTCCGAGGGTTAAAGAATTAAGTAATTCCACAAAATAAATTAATTTCACGTATTCTCGCTAAGGTGATAAAGTAGGCGACTACTGTAGTGGGCAAATGCAGTTATCGGGTTAATATTGCTCATTCACTGGCACTCAAAACTCTATATTTCTTTCTTTTAATTTATTTTAATTACATTTTTCCAATTTTTTAAATTGTAATCTGTACGAAATAAAATGTAAAGATATTAAAAAAATCTAATTTTCATGTACCGAGTATTTATTAATATTATTATTTAAAATTCGACTTTAACTCGTAGTCACTCTATACAGAGATGTATCGAGCAATTTCTATCGACTCTGTTGAACTAATTCTCTATTGTACATGGGTACAAAGGTAGTGTAATTCGTAAGTGTAATTCGTCTCGACATTGAAATTCAACGGACACCGCGGAATGATTTATCACACGGCTTCATCTTGAATTTCGTAGCGCGCGATGAATTGTGCGCGATATGGACTGATTTATCGCGAGCCGGCTTATTGTCCCCCATCCGAAGTGACGGATTAAAAAGGTTCAAATATTCAAATATGCGCCAGGTCTCCTTCTTTCCCCGTACATTCGACAGCCCTTGGGGACACGATCGATCATGTGGAGTCGTCTGCCCGTTAAAGAACCCCCTCCCCCAATCCTGGGATTTATTTTAATATCGTTTTTTTTTTATTTGGCAGTTTCGTGAATACATTAAGTTACCGGAGACTGAAGTATCGACGAGGGAACTTTACGGGAAAATGTAAAATCGAAGTGGCCTAATATAAATCATCGAACACTTGGTTCTCTTGAGAAATCTTCTATTGCTTTTCTTTTGATTCACACACAGTCACGATGAAACTGTAAAACTGTATGTACTTATTAGACGGATCACCTACTCAACAATCCACTTTTCTCGAAACAATTTATTATTTATCCTGAAGAGTAACTATATTGGGGAACAAAAAATTGTTTTTTCATGTGGTCAGGGATTTAAAATTGGTTTCAGAGTACTCGAGGATTACATTTTCGTTTTTACTACATTGGTTGCGATTTTCGAAATAATCGAAACTGTTGAAATTTTACGTTTGTGTCGAATCGAATTACTGATTTCGAAAGTGAAGAATAAAATCAATGACTTTATTTTGTTTCAGAGGCGAATCTTATAGAAATGATTGTGTATTTCTTTGTACTTTTTTTCATAACTTTCTAATACTTTCTATGTAACTATCCTTTTTCTTCCTATAGAATTTTATAAATAAAATTAATTCAAAATCATAGAAATTGCTGTTTCATTTTTCCCCTTATTTTGCATAAATACTTAACAGATAAGCATGTTTAAAAAATTAGGGCCAATCAACAAAAAATAATTTCATATTCAGTATCAGGAGCACTAAATTACTCAAACTCAATTTTTAAATCCCTGGCAACAGATTGACTGTTCCCCTGTGCTATCTATAAAAGTACAGTAAATATCAATGTTAGTATCACGAATCTAACAGATTCCAATTTTTCCTTGTCCTTCGTTATTTTCCATGCGAAATTTCTCGTGTCGTCGTTGCGTTCGGTTGGTTCACCCTGTTTCGAGGGGCGCGCTCGCGCGTTCGCTGCCGTCACGACGTTCACGGCGTGTACGTGTAAACAAATTAAGCGATAGAACGTCACAGACGACCGACCTTTTTCGCGCGCCTACCAACTGACCCGGCCAAGGACCGTGAGAAACGGCCGAGCCAAGGTAGCGGCAAGGTCGCTAACGACCATTAAGCACCGTTCACACCGGGACAATGATTAATGAGGTGGTTTCGAGTCGAGAAAGAGAGAGATGGAGAGTTCTCAAAACGACGAAGGTCCGACGGTGTCGGCGAGACAATGTGTCGGGGTGCAATGTCAATTATAATGATTGACTGAAAAGTTAATTTTAATCTCGGAGTTCTTTTCAGTTAAGTATTTGTTGTTAGACTTGTAAATATTACTTGATACTGTCTTGATTACGTCGACACGTTAGTAGAAAATTAACAAAAACAAAACAAACGCAAAGTTCACGTAAATTACTAAACTCAATTTAAAAAATTTTACTTTTTCAGAATAATATAATAAAGTGAACAACTGTAAGATTGAAAATGTGATTCGTATATGAAAAGCTGTCTCGAATTCTCAGCTTAAGTATGTTTATCAAGTGAGCTCCGTGAGATGGTACTCGATTTCAAGTAGTATAGGTCGAGATACGGTCGGACAGGATTGATTTCATGGCGGTGGTCAGTACGTTTGGATCGTCGAACGAATTCAAACGATGCACGCCGCGTTCCTCTTCATTAGCCAGCGAAATTATCGATAGAACAGCGCTCAGGGATTCAAAACCGTCTCGCTGGTAAACAACGTGTAATCAGTCGTCCCCGTGGTTGTTGGATTTCAGTGGAAATGTCACGTGTACGGTCAGCCCGCCCCGTGGAAATCCGTGCTTGAACTACTTATGCTCGCCGTTCCCCGCGGACGGCGACCGATATTCTTTGTTTGAGCACAGCTTAACGAACAATTACCACCGGATAACATTTCGTTTCAAAACCGAGGGACAAAAAGCTCCGTTAAAGATATAAGAAGAAATTAATGAAGTTTATTCATATTAAACCTTTCACCTTTTAACCTTTTAACATCCAGATCCTTGAATCATTATCTCAGAATTATGAGACTGAGTTGTATCTCGTTATTTTGAAGTCGAAAATATCGATATTAAAGAGCTCTATTTTTATTTCTGGCTGTATTTTTAATTTCTCAATTGATATATTACTCAATTAATATATTACTATTACACCTTGTATTATTATATCTTATATTATTATAATATTTGTAATTTCTTTTGTAATTAAGTGTAATAACAAAAGAAGCGGTTTGGACACTAGTTTCCCATTCAATCTGTTCCTTTGTAGAAACTATAAATTCTGCCTTGGAAAAAAGTCTTTCAGATGCTGACGAGATTGCAACACAAGACAAATATGTAATGGTAATTTTATGAAGTTTTGGGTATATAGATACATCAATGATATACTAGGACCAAACCAAACATCGATGGTTGGTCCTCTATAATCGAAATTTTGTAAACATAATGAAGTTCATTATCGATATTGAAACATCGATGTCCCTCATAATCGATATTCCATAAACATCGATGAACATCATACATCCCTTCCTTCCACGGCCACTGAAAAATGTCACTATCCGCGTTTTCGTTTCGTTATCAACCTCTCCCGATCCACCCCACACTCGAGGGGGAGGGGGCGTCTTTCTCGTTATTCCCTCCTCTGTTCGTTATCCCATTCATCGAGTAATTACCTGGTCGTTTGTCCGGCGGATCGGTCGGAAGTGGGTGGCCGCGATCCCGCGACCCAAAACGAGCCAACTTCGGGACAAGTTTCGCCGGAAGTTCACCCTCTCTACCTGCGTGTTCTACCCCCTCTTACTGCGATCCAGGGAAATTAATAACTATTGTCACGACCCCGTTCTTTTGGAATGACGTTTTTCTTTTGTTCCGTCCCGTGTGTTTTTGACCGTCTAATGTTTCGAACGATGAGTGTTTTATACGTCGTTTTGGATTTCTGGTCTTTGAAAGGGTGTGGCGAAAGAAAACGCCCTGTGAGTCGTATGGGACATATACTTTCGATCATTAATATTAAGACACTTATCGAATATGTAGTGAATGTTACCAGGGCAATTATGAAATTGCTGAAAGTCTGTAATAAATATTGTTTAGGATACATTAACACTAGAACTACGAGCATCGAATCCCATATAGCACATGACGACTTAAAGATGTCCATTTTACGGCTATTTTAGGTCTATGGCGCCTTTAAGCCGTCTTCAAGACGTCATTAGACATAGTGTGCTATCTGGAATGTATACTAAATTAAATTGTATGATATAATAATATAAATACATAATATATAATACAATCTAACATTGCATATTATAATAGAAAGTGTATAACAAATTAAAAGCAGAAATATAATTCCCTTAAAGGCACTATTATAATTTGAATGATTATAAAATAAGAAACCTATAATCCGTCATTTTGACGGATTCGGTAGTTCTAGTGTTAATTCTTTGCACTTTAACGGCGAGGCTCACTAACTACGTTATTCTTTGCATATTTCGAAGATGTAAAACATTTTGGAACGTTCAAATAACGAACGACCTTTAAGTACTACGACTGTAGGGTAGACCGAGGCGAATCGAAATTGTTTATTATTACTTTGTGTGGTGTCCAAATTTAGTATTTCATATGTCTTAGATTATTGTATCATAATTCGTCTATGTATCCTATTTGAAATTGAACGTCGTCATTTGGGGAGAATTGGATCACTTTTTCTTTTCGTTTGAATATTTTTATGATTATAAATGTGATAATTACTTATGTACAGATGGTTCGTATGTACATTAAACAGACCAATCAAGGATCATAGTGTCCAGAAAAAATGAAAGAAGATTGGATACAGTGCAATGTCTGCGAAGAGTGGTCTCACGAGAATTGTTAAAGGATACAATAATTGCGACCTATGTACCAAGTAGTGTCAGTTGACCTAATTATTATTGAATTATATTTTTTATAGTTAATTTAAAAATCTCTGTTTATGAAAATTTGAGTTTTTTCAGAAATGTCTGAATTATCCTATTTCTCACTTTTTCGTTTTTTGTTTGCAAAAGAAAGATCAATTAAGATTTAAGTTTCTAAAATTTTTTCATTATGAATGTTCAAGTTAAATGTGTACTAACTACGAATTTATAATAAACAATTAGCTTTCTAAGCTTCGAGTATTATTTTTTCAGTATCAAACAGAAAATGATCCAATTCGCCTCGATCTGCACTACTTAGTTCCGAAGTTTCGATTGAGAAAGAAAAACGGTGGTATCTCACCTGTAAAAGTACGAACAGCCCCTGACGCTATTATGGGAGAAGTGCTCCGCGTTCTTCTCGTTCCCGAAGTCCTCGAGCGGGTCGGACCAGAGTAGGTCGCACATGGGCCCGAACGCTGGTGGCTCTTTGAACCTGTCCAACTGTAACAGCAAAGCAAACATCGATCGAATTAGCTGAACGAATTGTCCGATACAACGGTGAGACTAGTGTAAATATGGCGCGTAATTATCTAAACGACGTGCACCCAGCAGGCTCCTGAGAGTACAACGAGCAAACGTTTCCGGACTAGTGCATCGGAAACCGTCGTCCCCGAAGTCTGGATTCTCCAAAATCCATTTAATCCCGCAAGCTTCGAAGCATTATTATTCACTCTTCGAAAGTCTAATTATTTTATGTTCTATATTACCTCTATCCATTATATCAAATCTTATCAATAATATAAATTCTTATTCTTGTAATTCATGTAATCTAAGTACAGCTAGTCGCCAGACTCTAACACTTATATTCGTAACTTTTCTGCGGTTCTCGAAACAATGACAAAAATGGAGAAACACGTAGATCAGTAAAAATTTCTCTACACATTTCATAACCCAAGAACACTTCTCAAGACACAATCTTAACAAGGGAACACCGTGAACGCTGATTCGCGGATTGAAATGAAACTTTGTGGGTTTATAGCAGTGATCGGCAACCGGGCCATTTATTTGTAACCATTCTTTCCATCTCTCGCACTTTAAGAGTTACACGCTAAAAAGTGGGAGTGCCTATTTGAGGTTACATAGTTTCCACACTCCTACAGGGCGATCGGACACTAATGAAACATACCGTTATCATTGTCTCGAATCACTCTATAAACCTACAAAGTTTCGTTTCCAATCCGCGAGTCACCGTTCGTGGTGTTTCATCGTAAATAACAAAATCTGTGTAAAGTCCTCACCAGGGACTTCTACCGAAACGTACAATACCAGTATTTTCGGTTGTACCTTCGTCCTATATAACCCTATATAAACCCTTCCTTATAGAAATTGAAAAAAAAAAAGAAATTAAAAAATACTGTTATTTATTTCGGTTCTCAATAATATATCGGTTTCGGTATAGCTTTGATGGCATAATACCGGTATCAAAATCATGCCGGTTTAAGTCCCTGGTCCTAACAGGGTTAAATAAATGTCAGACAATGAACAATGAAATTCCTCCAACACGATTTACGGAACATCGTCTGTGAACCAACATGTCACGGGTACATTTTTTTCCTCCGATAGCGAAACTAGACAGTTAGAGCTACTTAGTTACTCGGAGGACACACAAGACAGCCCCAGCAACGTCTCCTCCACCCCTTGGAGCAGTGTCTCCGCGGCATAAAGCATTTACGAACTTTGCCCCAGATTTATTCCCGGCTCGCGACGACGAACTGCTCGATGGCATTAAAGGAAAATCGGCGGAGATCGGGACGGGGAACTCGAACGGATGTCGGGAGGACACGTTTCGCCGCGGCGAAACGTTAAATATTTGAGAACCCTCCCCCCTCCGGCTTGATCGGAGCAGTTCAATTTCGCATCGCTCGGCAAACAGCCGGTGACTGGGGATGACACTCGAAGAAATTTACTTTTGAACCGTTCTTTGACGATCGGCTGGGAAACAATGGCCTGCAAACGTCGACGGAGGAATTTAGGCGATCGAACGTGAGGTGTAAACGTGGGTGGTGATTAGAAATCATCATATCAATCAATAATATTGTTATTAATAATATATCTCTGGAAGCCTCTTTTATGCACTGGTTTTCGGTTCGTGTTACGTTATTTAAGTCCTGAAATCGCACACCACGTGGAAGTCTTTGTCAATTTCAATAACAATAATATTAATAATAATAACACTTCATATCGCAATACCGAATGAAATAATACAAAACAGGAGGAAGACAAGGCAATAGGAAAATACATACCACTAGAACTAAATTAAATGTAGTGCCATTAATCGTATCTCCAACAGGCATAATTCGTCAATCATTCACGGAATACGTACATAAAAAAAAACATACATCCGTCCACACATGCAACGTTGTTTGGAAATTCATGAATTCACCAACATAGAAGCAGTGAATCTCTGCTTTACTTGGCTTTAAAAAGTAAAATAAAGAGAAAATCTAGTGGAAATATCCGAGGAAAACCCATTAATAATAATAATACTGTATTCAGTATAAATAACGCAAGTTGTCAATACCCGAAAGTGACACTAAAGTAAAAGGAGAGCCTCCTTCGCGGGGCGCAAAGAGCGTATAATGAAAAACTAAAGGTGGGGGAGGGAGGGAAGTGTCGGTTCGGTCAGGACCCCTGAAACGTTTCCGATAATTAGCACACCGATAATTACCGAACCACGGTCCTGGCTGACTATACCCGTTGACGTAGGACGGCGTTGCCTCTGTTTACTACAGCACGCGACAGAGCGCCGTCTGTGGAGCGAGGGAGGGCGAGTTTTAATCATAATAGGCAACGCTAATTATGCTGAATGGCATTAGTTCTCGGGCACACAGGGCGCATGCGTACAGGTCTGCTGTATAGTATCCTAAACAGGCAGAACGGGAATACAGTTTACAGTGTAACGAGCAGTTTGCACCTAATAATGGCAGACGTAATATCATCGGCATTATTGCCACCCTGCCTACAGCAAAGTGGCCCGTCCCGTTTTCAGCTGTACATCCGTATTACGTTCGACACGACCGGGGAAACACTCTAATCGAGTTGTTCGACGATCACTGAATCGTCGATATTCATGTGTGTATGTAAAGAAGACCAGGGACAAATGTAACAATTTGTCTTTTTGAACCTGTAACTTATGAATTTTGTAGAAGTTTTCCAAAATTTGTACACGATGTCAATCCTTGATTAATGGGCAATATAATCAAATCTACAAACTTGGAATGTATTATACCTATTTTCTTAAAACTATTCGATTTTTACTTTTGTCCGTATTCCCAGGGACGATTGTAACATTGTATCAGATTTGAAGAAAAACTAATTTATAGAAAAGATATTTTTCTATGATATTTTTATTTATTCTATAGATAGATGTGAATATAAATACAATCATGATACAGTAAACAGTCCATGAGAGTTTGAAACTCGGAGGGGACAGGGGACAATAAATATGACCCAGGGACCGTGCTCGGAGGGTTAATGTATTAAAATTAAAATGCAACCGGATGTCGAATTCTGTACTACAGGCTTTACTACGCTAATAATAACACATAAATAGTATTAAAATATATTAAAACTTACAGTTTATTGCATTTATATCCCTGCATTATTTAGTCGGATCGTAACTTTGGAAAGACCCCTCGTATGAAAGGTGTCTGGCCAGATACGGTGCAATACTACTTACAACACCACCATGCTACTTCCTCACGTAAATCGAGCAATTCGTGAACAAATACCCAAGAATCACTTTCATTGTATTAAAAACACATTTAGGTCTACAGATCTTCTTAACTCTCGGAGCTCGTGTTTGTATCAACCGATTTCAATGAAAGTTTCAGTATGTATGTAACTAACATAAATCTTCGATATGTATTTATTAAATTTTCATTATAGCCTCAGATTAAAAAGTTGTAAAAAACGACTTCTACTATTTTCTTCGCGATTCCGACCAATTGTAACAATTTTTTTTACACGTCATTTAGTAAACTAATGTCTCTATCTTCACAAAAGAACTCAAGTCATGTGGGCCAATTTTAAAAAAGTTGTTCTGTTTTAAAGGGTATACGAATACCTTTTTCCGGTACTGTAGACCCTTTTGATAGATTCAACAACATTTCTCGAATAAAAAGAACCAGAACACCGTCGAGCTAATCGTTGCACTATCTCTGTTCGCGCGAGAAAGAAACGCAATCCAAGCATCCGGTTTTTCGAGCGGAAGTGGGCCAGTTTTCGAAGCGCCGGGCCATGCAAATCCGGTAGAAGAGGGTGGTGGTGGCCGTTGTATTCCCCAGCTGACATTTGGTATTCATATCGCTTACTCGCGGTTGCAAAACCCGTCTTTTACATAGAAGCACACGGAATAATACATAACAGAGGCCGAGGAAGAGAGGATCCATGAGCCTCTGATAAATATTGCATAGTCGCCGATGTCCCTCTCTCTTTCTCCCTCCACTGCTCACTGTCGCCGGAATTTCCAGCATATTTCGACGTGGATTCATCCCTCGATGGATCTACTACAACCCCCGAAGAAGGCGGAAACGTACGATCCCCGATAGAAAATAAACGATACGTTCGTTACTTGCACGATTAAACTGCCCTTTGTGCTCCCCGCGATGACGATCACGTTCGAATGGGTTCTGACTTTCAGAGGCAGTGAAGAGAAAGGAGGGTGGTGCAGAAGTAGTTACAAGATGCTTCGAATTTATAGAATAGCGATCCATAAGCAACTCGATTCGAAAGACTGGTGTTAACTAGGATAAGGAAAATGTATTAAATTTTATGAGAAATTTCTGTTCAGCTGTGTTTTTTTTAGATGTCATAAACGCATGAATATCTGAATTTAATTATTATCAGTACCTATCTGTAGCACGGAAAAATATCTAGTGTCCCAATAATTAGATTTTTGAATTCACGTTCAGTAGAATAGAACTATCAAGGAAGGATTTTATGTCAATCATTACGAACTGGTAGTTATGCTTGCAGATAAATTTCTGATTTTGTGATATTAGGGAAGATTTCAGAACAGGTTTTTTTCAGAATATTACAGTATTCGATTAACAGTTGGATTTCCACGTCACCAAAATATGGGTGACATGTAAATTGCAAAGAGGTTGAATCATTTAAATACCGTTACAAACATTTTCTCGTAAAATTATAATCGCAGTGTAATTTAAAACAAGACCGACAGCTTCTATTAATTAAACGGATATACAAGGTGCCCCACCTTCAATATCTCACCTGTTTCTGAAGATGCAAAAAAATGTTAGGGGAAAGTATTATTTGGTTAAAAGAAGCAAGTACTACGAGAAGCAAAAATTTTTCTCAAGCTCATACTTTTCGAAATTTCAAGTTCATCGATGTTTTACATGAGACTACATATTTTTATCTGCGTGGCTTAATAGTTAAGATCAAGACCAATCCAATGACACAAATGTATGAGAGTACTT